TACTTATGTGGACCCTGGAAAATGTATATTTATGGTGAAGAAATAATGTAGCCATTTGATTCAGCTGTATTGGGAAAAGGACAAATATTGTGGATGCAGAATACCAGCCCTTAGGAATTGGAACTGCCAACCCCTTCCTTAAGTGGAGTTTTCTAGGCCAAAGTTACCTCTACTATTTTGATCGACTTTGATTAATTGTTTGAAATTCTGTGATTACTACACAGAAGTACTAAATAAAGATGTTTATGTTTATTCCAGTTCTGTGTGTTAAATATCTAGGTGTTCTTATGTGAATGTGGGTCTTTTAGATAAATTTTAGTGATTTTGATCATGTTTCACATTTTATTGTCACATACTGGCGCTGGTCTTGGTCTTGACTTGGTCTTGGACCCTAAAAGTCTTGGTCTTGTCTCGGTCTCAAAACACTCTGGTCTTGGTCTTGTCTTGGTCTCGGGTTAGGTGGTCTTGACCACAATACTGCTACTAGCTAATCTTAAGGGAATAAGAGTATTTTTTTCTATGCTTTTGTTTTTTCAAATCTATTTCTGACATCTAATCATTTTAGTGTGTTCTTAGTTTTTCAAGATACTTTCAAACACAGCGTAGTGTGTAAACCACCTCCTAAAAGAGGTTAGCAGAAATGGAGTCTTTTCAAAGCACTTCAACTGATTCTTATTACTTCTTCCAAAACTTTGCTGGAGGTATAACACCTGAAGTAGCATTACTGGTCCTTCTAACCCCTTCTTAATTTACTCATACCTCCAAGTGGAACTTGGAGGCATGAATCCTTGATTTTCGTACAAACACCTGCCTGGGAAGGTATACAAAAAGGCATCTTTATCTGATATCTAAAGACTCTGATTCTACACAAAGAATTTCTGGTATAGTCTAGTTTCTTACACTTCCTTTAAAAATGAGGAAACCACCTTAAGAGGAGGCTAATTTAAAATCCTTGGACATTTAATCTCCTGAATTGAGATCAACAAGTAAACTGATAACTTATATGACCTTGAAAGGTAGGTAGGACCTTCAATCTATATATGGATGTTAAAAGACTGAGGTATACCAAATTCCTTTTCACTGGGAATTTATTCCCATACTTAAGCTACAGGCAACACTTTAGATCTCCTCATAATGAGGGCTTTTTCAAAGAACGTCTTCCGCCTGAAATTACAAGGTACATGGTCATAACACTCTCCTACTAAACACTGGTTGAGAAACCTCACACAGACCTTGAAATTTGCTTGCAAGGTTGAAATAGTCAATTTCAGCTGTATCTTACACTAGTAGGGTAATCATAGGTGTTAGTTCATGTGCTTGAAGCGATTTTCATCACAGACCAGAAGTTGTTAATGCTGAAGATAAAGATATATATATATATATAAAAGAATATATATATATATATATATATATATATATATATATATATATATATAAAAGAAACAGAATGGAGGAAGTGGTGGCCAAAAAGAGAGGAAAAAGAAAGCACATTGCAGCAGCCTTGTTATTTTTCATACCAGCTATTGCTGCTGCAATGATGTGATCCATTTACCAACTTCTATCTAAGTCTTTAAGAATTTTTCACTCTGCTTTTAGAAGAATTTCAATGCATATTTCTTGGACAGGGAAGCCTGGGTGTTTTCATTGTTGTACATGAATATTTAAAGGCTTTTCGGCTAAATGTCAGAGTTATCTGCACAGTTTACCAATAAGGTTGCTCTTTTTTACATTTTTCCCCATGCATTTATTTAGTTGTGACCCAAGGTTGAATGCTATGACTTTTCTAGAGAATTTAAATAAGAAGATTTAAAAAAAAATTCCAAAATGCTTATTTTGCCCTCAGTCCTTCAAGCTGACTCTGCCTGCGAATTAATTTTCTTCATCAAGTCCAAAATACTGAGATAATCAGCTTCATTTTCATAGCGCCTTCTGAAAGGGTCAACTGCTTGATGATGATGCAGATGGTTGAGGTCTTGAAAGCTATTTGGGCCGGTGACTTCTAGCTGAATTACAGCCAAATCATTTTCTTTCTCTTTTTGCTACACATGAATGAAATAAAAGCCAAATGAGACAAAGACGACCAAAGAAGTCTGATTAAGTCTAATCAAGCTGAGACGGAGGTGACATTTGAATTACTTTGATTTCAATGTCCAAATATTTCATAGGGCTGACATTTTGAAATGCAAATAGCAAACTGCAATGAGAAGAATACTGGGGATTCTCAAAGGCAACGAATAAAGAAGTTGTAGCCTTGACCAAGTTTCTTTTTCTATTTTAGAAAAATATATAATCTTATTTTCGTATTTTGCTTCCAATCAGCCTTTCTTGTATTCTAAAAAGGTCTACTAGTCTAATTCGTCAGGTTTTGTAAAGATCTTTCAAAGCTTTTCATTGACTGCTTATTGAAGCAGTCAGCAATACTTATTAAAGTGTTCTTAGACAGAGCATGATGAATCTGTATTAAGGCTCAGTTATAGTCACTCTACTGGATGTTGACCGCAGAAACCCGAGAGAGGAAAAACAGGTGACAGTACACCACATAACCAGAGGAAAGTAGTGAGAGAAGAAATACTTTCGAACACTAAAAATGCTTGAGTTTTTTTTTATTCATATTATTTCTTACCAATCTATGGAGCCCCTCTGATGACATGGTCAAAAAAAAAAATTTTAATTGTGGCCACGAAGTAGTATTTCGTGCACACGAAATACTACTTCGTGGCCACGCAATAAGATTAACGTGCGCACAAAATACTTATTAATAATATTAATATCATTCCTGGACAACTGGGTAAGCAAATCGAGCGCGCCTTCTCTAAGGTCTAAGGCGCCACGAAGTATTATTTCGTGCGCACGTTAAACTTATTGCGTGGCCACAAAGTAGTATTTCATGCGCACGTTAAACTTATTGCGTGGCCATGAAGTAGTATTTCGTGTGTACGTTATACTTATTGCGTGGCCACGAAGTAGTATTTTGTGCGCACGTTATACTTATTGCGTAGCCACGAAGTAGTATTTCGTGCGCATGTTAAACTTATTGCGTTGCCACGAAGTAGTATTTCGTGCGTACGTTATACTTATTGCGCGGCCACGAAGTAGTATTTCGTGCGCACGTTATACTACTTTGGGCCACAATTAAAAAAAAATTTTGACCATGTCATCAGAGGGGCTCCGTACCAATCTATTTTTTTTTTCTTGGAAAGTTTTAGACTTAGATTAAAACCCTGAGGAGGAAACCACTTTGAATTTGTCTGCAGTTTTCCCTTTCAGCCACACAAAAACGGCTTCATATATCCTTTAAAACAGGGGTCTTCAACATTTTCCACGCTAAGGACCCCCCAACTGATGGCAGCGGGACCCCATAATTATATATATTGTATGAAATTGTGTTATATTAAACTGGTTCTTTTGTCACTCTATTACAAATTGAGTCATGTAACAAAAGTAACTCCTCCCTGGTATTATTAAAGTATTTCTGATTCTGATTCCTGGTTGATGGAACCGGTGTTGTCAATGAAACGGTGCCCAGCTAGAAAGAGCTTCTGTGTGTCGCTGAATGTGTGCATTGATGACTGAAAGACATCTTCTGCTCCATTTATCTTTTTACTACAGTGTGTTGAATTCATGTTAATGTGGATTTAAAGACATTTCAATTAGTGGGAAAAATTGCAGGGGGGAATATAAAAAAAAAAAGTCTAATCAACCAAAACTTTTGCGACCCCCATGTAGTACCTCCGTGGACCCCCTTGGGGTTGCGGACCGCCTGTTTTAGGACCTCCACCTTAAAACAAACAATCCTAAAAACTGGACACTTGTAAACTCTCCTGTTATTAGCCTATGTGTATAAATGAAAAGATGAATAGTAATATCCAGTGTACAAATATTTCTTTGCTGCAACACACATATGCAACCATTGTTTATATGCCTGGCCATATGGTGGAGTTAAAAATGAATTTCATCCGAGAGGTGCTTCTTTTTACATTGTTTTAGAAATGTTTTGCTTATATTTATTTTAATTCATGATCAGATAATTTAATCCATGATTCATTTCAAACAGGAAGTCATAGTTGTTTTGAAGGATTTTGATTGGCTGACAAGTTTTAGTTTTGCAGTACACTGCCCCCTTTGCGTTTAGCATATCTAAGACACTTTGTGGTTTATTTCCCTCTGTTGGTTTGGATGAAAACTTCTTAAAAAAATAATGTCATAGGGGATTTATTCAGTTCTTTTTTTAAAATCCTATGGATGTATGGAGTAGGACGATGTCTGGGCAGATCATTTCTTTCTTGCTGCATGTCGGAAAAAGCTGTTTGATTGGTCAGGATTAGATAAGCGTTGTTAAGTAGGAAAAGCAGAGATGACTTTCTCCTTTTTTTAAGGTGGGGAAATTGAGTGTTCGGAAGATGAGCTTCTTACAAACTATGATCAGCAAATACACTTCTTTTTTTCTTTGTATTGCCATGATGAGAACAAAGATAAATGTATTGCTTCCTGTGCAAATTGGCCTTTAAACTGTACATAATCTGCTTATCTTATTTAAAGGTGTTCCACAAGGATGTGTTTCAACTCCCCTGTTTTTTTTTCTGATGCTGCACATTAATATCCTACTCTCAATATATTGACCTTCTTGTTACTTTGTGCTTTCATCATGCTCATGATGATTATAGTTTTATTGGTTATTAACTGTGTTTTCTCTGTTAATAAGACATCGGTTGTTTAGAAAATAGCTTTAAAAAAATTGAACAGGTTGGCCACGCATTCTTGTAAAGAAGTTCCCATTCGATAGACACCTAAAAGTATTCTTAGCATATGCAATGATTTATATTCCATAAGTTGTAACATTTGAAAACAAAAATCCATTGAAATGATCCTTCTAATTTTAAATTGAAGAAAAAGGATGTGTGGTTTTCTCATTTTTGTTCAGAAAAAAGTACTTATGTTAACCCTACTAAGGATTCATGTTTTTATAATATTACCTCCCTTTCTTTTTCTTCTCCATACAGTCTATAAGAGAAGTGACGGGATATGTGCTGGTTGCACTGAATCAGTTTGAGTATCTGCCGCTGGAGAACTTACGGATCATCCGAGGCACCAAACTATACGAACGTCGCTATGCTCTGGCCATCTTCCTGAACTACAGGCGGGACGGCTTCTACGGCCTGAGGCAGCTGGGTTTACGTAATCTCACAGGTATGGTAGACAATATTTCATAATATTAATATTTTTTTGTGTGTGTGTGCAAGGTTCCTGCACAGAAAAGTCTGGAAAACCATGAAATTAGATTTTTATAGCTTCAAAAGTGTTACATTAAATATTTATCTTCCAGACCTTATTCCCAATTAGATTGTAAATGCTGCCTCCTTCCCTCCTTTCTTTCTTCAAAGTCAAAAGTCAAAAGTCAAAAAGCCTTTATTCTGTGAATCAGTTAAATATACTGAATATGTGCATCTCAAAGCACTTCATAGAGACAATTCCACCAGTCATATTTGTAAAAAGTTTTCTGAGGAAACCCAGCTGATTGCTTCGAGTCATTGACTTTGCAAGATTTTCTCCTCTTTAGTGAACATGTAGTGACACTAGATATTCGCTAGCATTCTGATGTTGACTCTACAGCAACCCCTCACACCAATCAGGCATGCAGTGACAGTGGAGATCAAAACTCCCTTTAAACCAGCCTGAGTGTGAGCTGATGGAGGGTTCAAGGAGACAGAGGCAGACATACAAAAGGAACAAGAAGCACTGATCCATAAATGCTTCCTATGACAAAAAAGGTAACAATAATCTAGATCCATGTATAGAAAAGAAACAGCTGAGATCTGAGCCATTTCCATGAACAGATACAGTTAGTCACAGTCAAAGTTGAGAGAAGCAGGACTCAACACTGAAAAACAGCACCAACTCTATCGGTAATGGGAGGTGTTTATGGCAGCAGCCCGTCTGATAGTTATCTACTGAAGACAAAAAATGACAAAAAACAAATTGAAAATAAGAGGTTAAGCTAACAAATACGGCATAATGGGATAGAATGAAGCAGAATGAGGTAAAGGGTCACTATGTCCTCCAGCAGTCACAGCCTATAGCAGCATAACTATAGCGGTAGTTCGGGATAACCTAAACTACTCTAGCTATAAGCTTTATTTAAAAGAAAAGTTGTAAGCCTAGCCCTAAAAGTAGACAGGGTTTCTGCCTTACAGGGC